TAGAGCAGTCATGGGTTCAAACCTTAGCTCAGCACATATCACCTATATGACCACCAGCAATGTACTTACCCTTGAGCGCCTCCTTTTCCCAAGGGCCAGAAGAGAGCCACTGAGGTAGAAAGATCAGCCCTACACTGAGAAAGCCTAGTTGTCCTCTGCACATCTTTCCAAATCCAGCTGAGCCCCAATTCCTCCACCTAGGCTTCTCTGCTCCTTCAGCTTTTCCATGAAGTCATCCATGGTAGTACCTTCCCCGGCCTTGACTTTGAGCTCTTTGAGGGCAGGGACCAGGTCGTACATATATTATTTCAAACTTCCAGGTTGGAGGTGTGCAAGAAATATTTATTGAAAATAACCTATTTCTACTCACCACTGAGTGAGCTGCTTCTCATGGTCACTTTCAATGAAGAAGGGTTGACCATGAGCCCCTGTCAATACCTCTAGAGGCTGAGGGTTTGTTCCCTGCTATGTTTGTTCTAACCAACCTAGTCTGCCTTACTTACTTCTTCATGAGAACAGGTGTTAACGTGTGCTAACGTGGAGAAAGAGCCAGCCTGTTGCCAGAGAAAGGAGCTTTTTCCTAGTGCAAGGACAACTGTTCCTGTAAAATTGGGACTCTGATGACGTAGTCTAATCAATTAAGTTAATCAACCTAGATTTATTATTTTGCTCCCCATATCCTGAGTTTGGTGAACACCATTGGCCAATAAAGTCAATACATAAATATTTTTAAAGAGAAAAGGCTTTCATTCAAAAGCATTGCTGGACACTTGTCATTTGAATACTTGGTGGACAATATTTGTCACTCCTAGGCTCATCTCTACACAGCCCTTCCCTGGAATCCCTCCCAGTGGAGGAAGTATACTTTTCATTCAGTTGACATCAGGCTCAGTCATGTGACTTGCTTTAACAAATGGAATGGGAGCAGAAATGATCAATCTTATAATTAAGCAAAATCTTTAAGAAGCACTGTGATGTTCTGCCATGACTCTTCCCTCCGCCTAAGAATGGTCTGGCTCCATCAGCCTGTGTCCCAGGACAAACATGTGGAGTGAACCTGCTAATCCACAGCTAATATGTACTGCAGGCAAGATACAAACATTTGCTGTAATAAACCACTGAGATTTGCGGGTTATGCTTTGTGACCATAGCGGAACTTACTGAGAGCTGACTAATACAGGAAGCTAACTGTAGACATCTCATACTCCTCCTCTGGCTTTTGTCACAACATAAATCTAGAAAGCAATCGGAAGCTCATTCTTTGAAATCAACAGTAAAAGAGATGAGAACTATGTCATACGGTTATTGGGATTGTTTGGTAGGCTATCATGTGGAAAGCGTCTAGGATTCTGTGAGCTCACTTACTGTGAGCTCCTCCCCATTATAACTCCTTCCCTTCTCACTTTATTCCTACTTCCACGGTGGAGGTAGGAAATTACAGATAAATGTCTACTAGGGTCTTGACTTTTCTCCGTACTACTGCTGGGAAGAACAAGTCATACACAGTCCCCTACCTTAAGAAGCTTCTAGGCCATCTTCTGGTAGGAAAATGTGCATGCTTGCTCCCTCAGATGTTGAAGTAAGTGTCCAGCATCCACGTGGAAAGTTAACAAATGTGACTGGGATATGCCTCGGAAGCAACGCATTGTTCATCATTTTTTCCACTTCCCACCACTACCAACCACCACCCCCATGTCCAGCTAATACTCCCTGGTACTCAGGCTGGATTAGATTCCCCCCACTTTGCATTCCCACCCCTCCCTGTACTTCCCCTTTTGCCCAACTATTACTTTGGATTGGACTTACAGTTTGTGAATCAGTCTTTCCACCAGATGCTAAGTTCTGTGAGAGAAGAAACTATATTTTCTTTATTGTATTCCCAGAAGCTGGCTCATGTCTGGAACATGGTACTCATTTAACAACATTTTTTGAATGAATAAATTTGATCAGTTAATTCCTTCATAATGACTTTTGAGTTCACACCGAAAGTTGATGAGTTTGCTATGCCATGTGCTCAGGGCTCCAACTCAATCCTTATAGATATTTTTTAAACTGACAAGGAGCTCTCCACGTGAAATCAGTATGTGATTTACATATACCTACAATCTTAAAGCACTCATAGAACCTTGTGGAAATTCAAATGGGCAATCCACCAGCTGAATTATCAGCTCCTAATTAAGCAGATGTTGGCTTTCATTAAAACTGGTAAAATATATCCCAGAAGTTCATTCATAGCTTGAGAATAACCATGAACTTCAAGAAGCTGAAATCTGCTAAAGCAGGGGTGTTCTGAGGTATGTTCAGCAGAGTTCCCAAGTGTATGATACATGTTTCCATAGTTGCCTACACTGTAATAACCAAAGAATAGATAAGCTAATTTCCTAAAAAAGAATAGAATAGAATGGAAAGAATAGAATCTCCTTCATCTCTTGGAAGGACTCCAGAGTTGCCAGAGTATGACCATGTCCTTGCTCCTGGGATATCTACAAAACTTTGATTCTGTGAGTTTCTTTTTAATGATGAGGAATGATTCTTGTTCTGTTTATTTTTACATAACACCTCTATCATCAAACATATTTCAAAATGATGATTTGGATTGGTACAGCCACTGTGGAAAACAGCATGGAGTCTTCTCAAAAAAAACTTAAAACAGGACTACCATGTGACCCAGCAATGCCATTCCTGGGTATATCTGAAAAAAACAAAAACACTAATTCAAAAAGATACATGCACCCCAATGTTCATAGTAGCATTATTTAAAATTGCCAAGATATGGAAGCAACCTAAGTGTCAACAGATGAATGGATAAAGAAGATGTGGTGCATATATATACAATGGAATACCACTCAGCCATAAAAAAGAATGAAATTTTGTCATTTGCACGGATGGATTTGGAGGACATTATGTTAAGTGAAATAAGTCAGACAGAGAAAGGAAAATACTGTATGATATCACTTATATGTGGAATCTAAAAAATACAACAAACTAATGAATAATACAAAAAAGAAGCAGAATCACAGATAAAGAGAACAAACTAGTGGTTACCAGTGGGGAGAGGGAAGGGGGAGGGGCAATATAAGGGTAGATGGAAAAGGGGGGTTATTACGGGATTATATGAAATCACATGTGTGAAACTTCTGAAAATTGTAAAGCACTATAGAATTTAAAGAATCCTTCTAAATACTATATGATATCACTTACATGTGGAATCTTGAAAATACAAAAAACTAGTGAATATAACAAAAGAAAAAGCAGACTCACAAATATAGAGAACAAACTAGTGGTTACCAGTGATGGCAGGGGGCAATATTGGGGTAGGGAAATAGGAAGTACAAACTATTAGGTGTAAGATAGGCTCAAGGACGTATTGTACAACACAGGGAATATAGCCAATAATTTTATAATAACTGTAAATGGAAAGTAAACCTTTAAAATTGTATTAAAATAAAAAATTTTAATACAAATAAATAAAATGAAATCAGATTTTTAAAAAAGAGTATTTCATTCAATAAAAAATTTTAAATAGAGGAAAAAATTTAAAATTTTTAAAAAATTCCAATGACTTGGAAACACCACCTTTCTTTGGTGGAAAAAAAAAATCCTTCCATTCCATCCTCCTGTTAGGCGTCAGTCAGCTTAAGCCTTTTCTCTTAGTTTCAAAGGATTAGCAGAAGCAAAGTACAATTCAGGACTTTGGTTTTCCAACTTTCTCTGGTTCAGTGAAATTCTCCTTCATACCCATCACCCAGTCCCTGCTGATCCTGAGAGGCACTCCAGAAAGCAGGAAGAAGGGTACACATGCTTGCTTTCTGAATTGAAGAAGGATTTTGTTTGCTTTAGAATTGCCAAGCTACTAGAAGAAAATCACGTCAATTTAGCCATGAGGCTACACACAGTAAAGGCAAGCGTGAGGCAGGTATTTGGGGAACCACATGGTTTGTCTGCAGAAGTTCCAATGACCTTTCAACTCAAAGATTATATCAAGCTGTCTGCAAATCACATTGTCTATGTAAAATTTTCTCTTTCATTTTATGGCTCCCATGTCTCCTCTCCCATCTGCCAGGGCTGTGGTTCAAATAATCTGATTTTTTCCCTGAAATATCATGGAATAAATCTACATAAAGCCTCAAGGTTTCAGAGCTACCCAGGTTCCAGACAGTTGGTAATCCACTAGCCCTCGGGAAGCCTCCTTCAGCCGGGCCAGGATTCTATAAAGTCCCTCCCAAGTTAAATTCTCTGGCCTCGCGACAGGTGGATACTCAGAACACTCGGAAGAGCACGGAAGCTCCTGCCAACTTTTCTCCACCCCAATTTGCCC